CCTGGCCAGAGCTCCTTCGGGCGAGGAAAGAGATCGGCTGCAGGGCGTTCTCAATTCGCGCGTGCCCCCTCTGTATGCTGGCGTCTATTCGCAAAATCCCGGCGTGCCATTAGTGCTGCCAGGTTCGGTCGCTACGGGCGTCAGTTCGCGAAGTCCTGGTGCGCCATGAGGGCTACCGGGCTCTATGTCGCCACGATGGGTCGCGCGCGAAGATCGCTGGGCGCTCTGGCATGCGCGAGCTGAAGCGGCGCCCCAACTTTGGGTCGAGCAGGGTTTCGTGAGCCTCGACCACCAACTTAAGCATCCGAAAGGGCCCGAACCCACCTGCCGCGACGTGGGCACAGGCGGTGCTCATGGAGGCCATCAGACAGCTGCTTTACGTCGGCTACTTTGGATACATCGACGGCTTCACCATCGCGTTGCGGCATTGCCTGGTGCTTCGCCAAAAGATTTCCTCAATGCACGCCATGTGGCGGTTTTTGTACGTGCGACGCTCGACGGCATCTGCGACGCCACGCCCACTTGCCTCCCCAGCTATGTCGACGCACCTGAAGGTACTTCCACTGCTACGGCTGCCGAGCATCGGAAGATTGCGAAGCGGAAGTATATGGAATGGAAGAAACGTTTTGCTACCTGGCCCCAAGACCTCCATCCGCTTACCACGCCTCTCTCAAGGGGGGCGCGCCGTCCGCGCCCTTCTCGGTCGAGCAGATGCGCGAGGACTTGCGGCGGCAGCGGTGCCCGCGGGACACGCCCGACCAGATGCAAGCGCGACTTGAAGCCTGGGGAGGGTATGCTCGCAGCGCGGCTTTCCCTACATCAGAACGTCCTGCAGACTGGCCACCGAGCCTGGATGACTTCCCGCGCGTGCTGGGGCGTGCGAAGGGAGCCCCAGGCATGGATGGTTGGACGGCTGCAGAGATCAAATTGTTGATGCATCTTTGCCCTGATATGATTCGTGAATTATATGAGCCACGGGTTGAGACCTCTCGCGCGCGCGTTGCACAGTAGGGCCACCTATCGAGCAGCTTCCTTGGGAAAGCCTTCGCTTGGAGAGAGGCTGGCACACCGAAAGGTGAAGCGCATCTTCGTCCCATATCCGTCGGCTCGCTTCTCATGCGATGCCGGTTGCCAGCGTTATCCAAGTCAGTCCCAGGCCAAACTGGAAACCAGTGGGCCTGCAAGGAGGGGGTGTCCACCCCGCGTGCAATTTCATGGTGTCTCTTGGATGGGACCAACGCTGAAGCGGGGGCTGAACTGGATCAGTCTCGAGCATTCGACCATGTTAGTCATCGTATTGCAGGGGGAGCTCTACTGCATCGTTGCAAAGTCCTCCTCGCAATGGCTTTTACTGCTCGCGCTGCCTGGATGGGCCCTCGGCACCTTGGAGCGGCGGGCCAGCTCGTCCCACCGGTGTGGCCTACCCGTGGCCTACCCGAGGGCGGCGCTCTGGCGCCTGCTGCGCTCTGTGCGGTGCTTGGCCCGTGGCAGCCGATCAGTGGAATCGCCTATGTGGCTGACAGATCGATCGCGCATGTTTCGGCTGATCTTGTGCGTGATGACTTGCGGGTAACTTTAGACTTTGATCAAGCCGTTGGTTTCAAGGAGAATGTCAAGAAGACGCAAGTCTGGCATGCCACCGACGATCCTGTACCCTTGGTGGATCACCTGGGGGTGATACGTCGACCTGCGGATGTAGAGTATCCGATTGCTGCGCGCAAAGGTTGGGACACAGTATTTGCTGGCATCAGTTCCTTGGGATCGACTCCTGGTGCGACAGAGGATGACAATCTCTTGCATCAGGCCGCTTTGGCTGTGGGCGTCACCGATTGTCGTCCCTGCGCCCGCAAATGCCCCGCGTCTCCTGCACGAAGCAGTCGTAAAGACAAAGACGAAGTAGTGGTGCCGCGGACGGCGGTGGTGCCGACGAACCCAGCTACGCCCGACGCTTGGAGCAGCTCTTCAGGCAATTATCAACGTCACCAAACCACAGTTGCTGTGGAGCGAATTCATGGACCATTCTCTCGAAAGGTCTGCCACGGTGTTGGGAGTTGCTTGTATCTAGTTCTCGGAGACACACGAAGATCTCCTGCCTGCTCGAAATCTCCTCGGAGACACACGAAGATCTCCTGCCTGCCACACCAAGATCTCCTGTATCTAGTTGCCTGCTCGAAATCTCGCCAAAAAATGACCCTCGCGTTCTCCGAACCGTCCATGCCCTGCGCCCCCCTGGGGGCCGTCGTTTCTGGAATCGTTCCGTGCAGGACGAGAGGCGCGCCGAGACAATGGACCGCGCTCTTCGGCTCATTGCTCGCATTCGCTGTGTCCAGACAGTCAATCGCACCGGGCATGGCGCTGATTCCATCGAGGGGATTGATGCGGAGGTGTTGTCGTGCGCGAAGTTTTCTAAGTGAAGATCATCACTATCAGACGGTAACAGATGGCGCCGTGGGATTTGTCTCTCGGGAGTTGTCGTCCGAGACGCGAAGGCAGTCTGGCCGCCCGTGTCCTCGCCGTGGACACCTCTGGCTGCCCTTCAGACACTTGTGGGCTGAATGCCCGTTCTATGACAATGAGAGGCGAACCATCGCCTATCAGATCGCCCTGGCCGACCTTTTTCTGGGCCAGTGTTCCCGGAATCGCGGCCAAGAGTGGATGGATTTGTCCTACTCGGACCCCGAGCGTTGCAAGCGCGTGCTGCGATGCTGAAGGCGTGCTGTGAGATGGCCTTGAAGATCGTGCAGCCCAGTCCTCTCGAGCGCCTTCGCCCCCGGGATCAAGGCTACTCTTATGGGTCTACATCATAGTTCAATGTGATCCACACACCTTCGTCTTCTCCCCATTGCAACGTAGTCGCCGCAATCGCGGCAGCATGGGTCGTGCAACGCAAATTGCGGGTGGGAGGGTCGGGCGACTGCGCGGGCATTGGAGCCGACGACTTCGAATTCTGAAAAAAGGGTTTCACTTTGCATATTGCATCACGCGGCGTGCACGACGCAGCTTGCACCGCGCAGGTTGCACCGCGAAGCTCGTAGCTTGCACCGCTCATTCTCCTTTCAACGAACGGATTGGATCCACCCCCTTCCTGAGCCAAGGCCCACCGCCCTCCTCGGATCATAGAATTTACGTATGTGAATTCCTCACTGTTCGTTTTCCGCATGAGGGCTGTGCAGGTCCAAGTCAACTGGTATCGACACCCACCCGCACCGCTGTCATAAAAAGGTTATCGACCCGACGCAAAAACACGGCGCGACATCCACTCGCGCGCGCATGTTTAAACCCCGCCAAACACATGGGCGGCGCAAACAATTTAATATCCAACATACACAACCAACATGTTTTGCCAGACGAATCTTGCATATCATCCCGTGAGTGTGCTGAAGTCGGGGGGGGGGGCGAACATACTATTAACGACCCCGTCCCGCATCGACGTTCTCATCTCGCCGCGCGGTGCATCCGCGATGATCCACTATGCGCCTGGTGCGCGGCTGCGTACATATAGAACGCATGCGGACCACACGCGCGCGCCGCGACTCGCGCGTGTCGACATCCGTTCGCAACCATTCGCCGACAGAACAATGCAGTAGATGGCCCTCCACAACCATATGGCACACCACGTGTGATTCAACACAACAGCTGCCAACTTTCTTGTGTTCCCGCACGCGCTTCCTCACCACTCACCCACCGCATCATTGCCGTTGCCGTCGCCGCCGTTCGCCGCCATTCGTGCCACCATCCGCCAACCACCGCTGTCACTGACACATACACATCGTCATCGTCACCGTCGTCACCAACATCGGCGCCGTCACTGGCCTAACCGGCTCCATCGTCATCATCGCCACCACCGCCGCTACTATCATTATCGTTGTCGCCGTTGCCGAAGTCGTCATGGTACCTCGCCCGCCCGAGTCACCGACCCGCACTGAGCTGCCCGCGCGCCAATGCGGCCTTTGAGACGCACTGGGCGCTTCCCATCGGCACGCGCTATCGCGGCCGCATCAGCTGTGTCAAACCAGCTGGCCACTCTGTACGCAGTGGCGCTGCCGCGGGGGTGGGCCAACCAGTGCCAAGTAGTCACCGCAATCGCGGCCGCATAGGTTGCGTAAACCAATTTGCGGGTTGGAGGGTGTGATGATTGCGCAAGGATTGGGTTGATAGCCCACGCGCTGGCAACGTCTAACTGCACCACAGAACTGGCACCACATGGCTTACACCACGTAGCTTGCACCACGTAACATGCACCACATAGCTTGCTTTTCCACACTGCAATGCCTTATTGCTTGGGGTCCGTGCTTGCAAACAAGTTTTGTTTGCTTGGTCTCCGCGATCTCTGTGTGCATACTTACATGTCATGTGTCCATAGTGTGTTTCTCCTCCGCCTCCCTCCCGATCTCCCCCCTCCCTCTCTCTCCCTCCCTCTCTCTCTGAATATATCGGTTGATACCATAAGCTATGTATGTCTATAGTGTCTTCTCGTATCTTAATTTTCCTTCTCTTCTCTATCTGCCTGTCTGTTTTTCTGTCTGCCTCTCTTTCTCTCTCCTTCCCTTTCACTCCAGCTATCCCCCCACATTCTTAGCAACACATATCGCCCTTCTATTCATGAGTATGTATTATAATGCATACCAACTCTGTTTCTGCACCTTCATCCTCATTATCCTGCTCTCCCCCTCCCTCCTCCCTCTCTCTCACACTGTGTATATCCCAATCTCTATCTAGCTACTCTCCGCCCGCTTTGTAACAGCACAGATCGGCATATGGCCTTGAATGTAAGAGCCGCCACGGCACTACAATCATGGGTGCCTCCTGCAACATCCTGCTCTGTCTCCACGTCAATGTCGTCGTCGTCGTTATCATCCTCCCCCTTCTCCTCTCCCTCCCTCTTCCTACTCCATGCGCCCTTCTTCATTTTCCACGCCTTACCTCCTCTCGGCCCCAAGTTTCCTGCGCTGCCCGCAGCGTTGACATGACAAGCGTCTTCACTATGCTACCCGCCCCGCCAGTATGGGCGGCGCCGAGCAATCTCCGAACTGAAGGCGTACCTGCCCGCACCCCACTGCGTCATGCCGCCATCAGGGCTTTCAGCTCTGGAGCGGAGGGCAGTGAGTACACAAGAGTCAGCGGCAGGCCCAGGAGGGAAGACAGAAGGGACGGACCTTCTCAGAAAGCTCAGAAGGCCTCCGGCCTTCCGAAAGTTTCCTGAACCTTCTCCCAAACCACGGGGGTCTGCTCAGAAAGCTGGAGGGCTTCTGAAAAGCCCCGCCGCTTTCTGAGAAAGCCTGCCCATATGGCAAAAACACGACTGTCCATGCTGGACACGAACGGACACCGCGCTGTCGCTATATCCGTGATTGTGAGCCACGTCTACACCTTCGAGCGGGGGGGCGCCTGTGAAGGGGAACGCCACTCCTTGATAGAAACCTTGCCCCGATTTGCCGCCGCCGCGATCGCTGCGGCGACCTCCAAAGCCGACTTGGAGGCTTGAGTCGGGGTCGGATATCACGCAACGGCCCCTCTCAGTCGGAGATGGACAGAGCCCCCTTTAGTAAAACGTGGTTCAGTGAAAACGACCTCGGGCCCAAACCTGGCGGGCGCAAGCCTGGAGAATGACGGCCGCGCCGCCCTCTCGAGCACCGAACGCGGACAATCCACTCCTCGACGTGTCAGGGTGGGGGTTCTGCCCACTGCTGGCTTAGGGGGCCACACGCGAACCCTACCCCTACCCCCCACGATTGCTGAGGGGGAGGCTGGGCTTCACTTCCTTCGGGAGCTCCCGAGCGAAGGGAACCCCACGCTCCCCCTCAGAAATCGTGGGGGGTAGGGGTAGGGTTCGCATCTGGCCCCCCATGGCTCACTTCTCCCCCCCCTCCCGCGCCGCCGACAACGACTGCGACGATGACCTGCGGAGGAGGAGGAGGAGGAGGAGGAGGAGGAGGAGGAGGAGGAGGGGGAGGAGGAGGAGGAGAGAGAGGAGGAGGAGGAGGAGGAGGAGGAGGGAGGAGGAGGGGAGGAGGAGGAGGGAGGAGGAGGAGGAGGAGGAGGGGGAGGAGGAGGAGGAGGAGCCCATCGAGAGGCGGCCAGGCCCCGCGATGCGCCGCGCGCGCCGCCCTGGAGCGCCCCGCTCCGAGCGCAAGCCGCCGAGGCCCGCCGGGGTGCGCCCGGGAGGCCCCGACGCCCTGCCGCCGCGAGAGCGGCGGTGGGCACGCGGTGCGCGCGCGCGCGTCGGGGCACCCACGCGCGTGCCTCCTCCTCCTTCCTCCTCCCCCTCCCTCCTCCTCCTCTCCTCCTCCCTCCTCCTCCTCCTCCTCCTCTCCCTCCTCTCCTCCCCTCGCACGTGCCTCCCTCCTCCCTCCTCCTCCTCCTCCTCCTCCTCCTCCTCCTCCTCCTCCTCCTCCTCCTCCTCCTCCTCCCCACCCCCCCGCGTCCGTGCACGGGAGGCGGCATCGCAAAGGAACCCAACAGTGAAGTCGGGCGTGTCCCCCTACAGGGGGATTTTCGGGCGACGAATAAGAGATACTCAAGACATACCCCCCAAATGCGCAGGAATAGTCAAACAAATCGTCCCCAGATATTTTGGGATATTTTTTTGAATATTCCCTCTGTGGAGGGACAGGCCCGACTTAACCGAACAGATACGCAGCAGACGGCGCAGCTTTTGCTGATAGTTTCCGGGCTCCAGGGGCCCTCACTGGGCCCCGGGGGCCGCCAACAAAGGGCTGAGGATGAAAAGGCGGTCCCCGGGAAGTGGGTCGAGACCTCGAGAGGTCCACGCTGTGAAAAGATACCACGACGCAGGAGGTCTGGAGCGGGAAGGCAGAGCGGCATTTCCCACGGCGGCGGGGCTTAGACAGCCTTTCCCCCCTGGACACGCCGCCGAATCTGGTTATATGAGGATTTTTGGGCACATCCTGTGCCCCCCTGGAGCTTCGAAAGGTGCCCCATGGATCCCCTGGCAACCAGGAATAACATATTCTCTCGGGGCACCTGCTGACAGGCCAATTTCTTATTTGACGTGTCCACTGCAGCAGCGCAGCGCTTTCAGAACTGGACTGACACTCGACTCCCCCCGCTCCCCCATATGATCGGCGTGTCGTGAGCGTGCGCCGTGGGAATCATGCTTCCATGTCCCTCCGCGTTATTTGTGCGAAGCCGCCCACCAATCAGACCTTCTACTGTCAGGAACCTTTGCTTATCGTGTCGCGGCGGCAGCCCCGGAGACACGCTATGCACTGCAAGCTGATAGCGTGTCGCTCCGCTCCGCGGAGCGCGAGACTGGGACAGGCTCGAGACATGGACGCCTGGGGACTGGGACGTGGTTAGCGTGTCGCGCCGAAGCGTTGTGGGCCAGGACTGGCGGCGCGACGCGCTGAGCACACGTTCCTGACCGTATCCTGGCATGGTCCTCCGCGTCTGCTGCACGAAACCGTCCAGCAATCGGACCTTCTACATCACAATGCGCTCCCATCGCGCTGTGCTGCCCCCCTGCAGGCTCGAAGCATCGGATGGCCAAGCGTGGGCGCACCAGCGGGCGGCGCTTCGGAGTGCGCAGGACCATCAAGAAAGCCCGCGGCCGTTCGGAGAAACGACGGCTGGGGACGTGCGGGAACGGGAGCTCCTCCCCGACCTCCTCCTCCACCTCCTCTTCCTCCGCCTCCTCCCCCTCCTCCTGCTCCTGCTCCTCGAGGCTCCTCCTGCTCCTCCTCCTCCTCGTCCTCCTCCACCACCTCTCTAAAGGTTTTCTGCCACGTCCCTCTCCGATGCCTCGACTCCCAAACCTCCTGTGTGAGTTGGGCCCTGGTTTTGAACCAGCAGCATCGCGCCCCACCTCCTTTCCACCTCTCTTCTCCTTTTTCCCCCCCCCCCCCCCTCTCTGCATGCCCATACTGGCACAAGCCGCTCTTGCATCGCGGCCCCGCAGGCAGCCACACCTACGGCTGCAACAACCGAGACCGCAAAGGGTAGCCGCCCCCGAACCGGCGTACCCTTCACACGTCCCGTGGCCCAAGAGGGAGCTCCATCTGAGATCACAACAAGCGCGACCGCATGGCGCGCCCGCCCCCAATCCAGCACCCCCCTCATCGTTCGTGGCCCCATAAGGGGGCCCCACCGACGGCCCCAGTGGCCGCGACCGAATGGCTGGCACTGCTCCCATTTCGGCACGCCGCTCACACGCTTCGTGGCCCCATAGGGAGCTCCACCTACGGTTTCAGTGGCCACGATCGCATGGTTGGCGCCGCCCCCACCCCCAATTCGGCACACCGTTCACACATTTCGCCCCCGTGAGCAGCTCCAGCTACGGTCTCAGTGGGCGCGACCGCATGGCCGGTGCCGCTCGAATTCCAGCACGCCCTTCACAAATTTCGTGGCGCATGCGTGAAGAGTTCCGACGGAATTTCGGCATACCTCTCACGAGGATCGTTGCCCAAGAAGGAGATCCACATACGGCCCCAGTGGGAGGACCCGCATGGCGGCGCCTCCCATGTCGGCGCCCCCCTCACGAGAATCAGGGCCCTAGAGGGAGTTCCACCTGCGCCCCCATCCGCATGGCGCCGCCCATTTCAGCGCACCTCTCACGAAAATCATGGACTCATACAGGAGCTCCAATTGTGGCGCCGTCCATTCCGGCACACCGCTCACAAGGACCGTGGCCCCATTTGGAGGTCTATAAAGGGGTGCGGTGCCAATGCTGACATTACCGATGTTATCTACGATAGCCGCAAGTGCGATGCGCCCCGGTTTCAACAACGCTGGTTTCGCATCGACCGCTTCAAGCAAAGTCGATGAAATAACTCCAATTCCGAAAGCGATCGCCGTCCAATCTGAACGGCGGCGACAAAAACGCCAAATCCATGAAGCCGTATCGCGGAGCACGCGATTCCGGAAAATCTGTAATTTCCAGAATTCGTTTTTGTGATTCTGGAATTTCTGGAACGTCGTTTCGGAATCTCCGAAATTCTGGTTTGTATTACAAGAATACTATTCCAAAATTCTGGGATTTCCGGAACTACGTTTTGGGCGATACGGAAATTCCGGAATGGCGCTTCTCGTGATTCGGAATTTCTGAAATTTCGTGCTTGGTGATCGGGCGTCCGGGAACAGGTGTAGTGTTGCCGTTCACATAAGCCTGCGGTCGTTTGGTGAAGTTGGAATCAAGAGCTCGGACCTTGCTTGAGGCGGTCCGCGTCAAGCCAACGTTGCTGTTATGGGGATGAAGCGCGCTTGCGGCTATCGCAGATGACATCGCCATTTTCAGCAGCATTGGCACCGCACCCCTTTACACCACACCCCTGTGCGACTTCCAGACCCATGGGGAGCACAACCCACGGCCCCGGTAGGAGGGTCCGGATGGCGGCGCCCAACATGTTGGCAGTTGGCACACCCCTCAAGAAGATCGTGGCCTCAGAAGGGAGCTCCACATACGGCCTCGGTGGGAACATTTGCATGCGTGCCTCCGCCTGCTTCGGCACGCCTCACACGAGACCCACCTACCACCCAGGTGGGTAAGTTTGCATGCACTTCCCCCTAATATCGGCGTGCCCTCAACGTTTCGACCCAGTTGGAATCGTTGCACGTGTCCCCCCAACCAATTTGGCACATCGCTCACACGGGCTGTTCACACAGAAGTCCATCACCAGCACTGCACAAACTCATGCAAAACCTGCCCACAGGGGCTAAACTATTGTGGTCCGACGACTACTGTGGGTTTTTGCGCCAACAAGTGTGGGTCCTCCCGTATCAGAACGGCGCACGATGATGAAGGACGCAAGGGCCTCGGATTGCCGTTTCCAAGTTCTTCGAGCGGGGCGCGGCCCAGAGCAAGGATGCAACGGCCGAGGATGGCCGAAAGTGGCCGAGGATGGAGGAGGAGGCGGAGGAGGAGGAGGAGAAGGCGGAGTGTTGGGCCCATCGCCAGGCCATCCTTTTCCTATGCGCGAGCTCTGGAGCCCTCGACCACCTCCCCACAAGCACGCTTGTCATCCCGACCCGCCTTTCGACGGTCCCTGGGCGGAGAGGATGTCGATCGAGTGTTCGCAACAGGGCCACGAGTCTTCGGTCGGGCATGTCCCCTTGACAGGCGGCTTTCGGACGAAAAATCAAACAGACTCCAAAGATGCTCAAAGATGATTTTAAAGAAAGTGCAAGAAAGATCGCCCCCAGACTATTGTTTGACTGTTTTTGAATACTCCTCCTGTACATACTCAGACTATTTTTTGATTATTTTTGACTATTTTTGAATACTCCTCCTGTACAGGGACTATCTTTTGACTATTTTTGAATCCTCCTCCTGACTATTGTTTGATTATTTTTCTGACTATTTTTGAATATACATACTCAGAAAAATCGTCCCCAGACTATTTTTTGACTATTTTTGAATACTCCTCCTGCACAGGGGCAGGCCCGACCCCACACGAGAGTCCTCGTTCCCTGGGCGCCCTGCGGGCGCTGCCCGCCGGGCTCTCGGGGCCCGCCTCGCGACTCTCTCTCTCCGTAGCCTCCTGGGGGCCGCGCCTGGGAGCCCGAGCCTCCGGCATGCCACGCGACGGCCCCAGGGGTCCGCGCAGGGCTCCGCGCGAGAAGTTCGACACCGGGGGCCCTGGACCCGAAGTAGTTGACATCTTAGGGGGCAAACAAACCTACCTCGCTTTTGACCACCCTCGCTTCCAAAAGATACCAAGGGATGCCAAACTACGGCCTGTACTGGTCAGGCCGCTTGACGAGGAGGCGCGTGGTATGGCTTGGTTTTGCCTGGAAGCGAAAGCGGGGTAGGTAATTCACGCTCTGAGAAAAGTTCGACACCGGGGGCCCTGGACCCGAAGTAGTTGACATCTCTTGGGGGGGCAACTGTGACTCCTGCCGGCTTCCGCCAGCCTGCCGCCGGCTTCCGCACTCGGAGCCGCCCCCGTCGTTTGCCCCCCATGTGCTACCTTCCTCCCTCTCCTCCTGCTCCTGCTCCTCCTCCTCCTGCTCCTCCTCCCCAGCATCCCGCTCGATTGAAATAGATCAATGTTTTTTGGGGGCCGATGTAGCAAACCGCCCATCACCTTCCTCGGTATACGGTTAGAGAGTCTCCCAGACGACATTCGAGAGAGGGGTCTTGCTGGGGAGGTGCGACCACCCCAAAAAAAACCACACCACCCTCCTTGATATCGACCCTGCTATAGGAGCAAGCGGACGGCTCCTTCCAAAGATCTGCGCAGGACCTACGTGTCACCATGGCTCGGGCTGTGTCGGCATCTGTCTTGGAATCCTGGAGCTTATCTGATCCGGATCGTCCTGATTGTAGTAGTCTTCCCGATGAGCTGACCGGTTTCCAACAGTTGAATCCTATGCCGCTGCCAGTACCGTGGGGGCAACCTTGCTCTCGATGTTGCAGGTTTCAACCAGCGCTCGAAGCCCAGGACTACTGTACCCGCTTTGAGCGTCCCCAGAAACCTGGTGCTCCTGGGCTGTGTTCCGTGGTGGAGCCCAGCAGAGGTCCCCACCCCGAGGCCCGTGGAGGCCGTGGACCCCCCTCGGAGGAGGGCACTCCGAGAGCTCTGGAGGCACCCGCCTGCGGAGCCCTGAGAGCTCCCTCCCGCTCCCTCCCCCACCCCGCCTCCCGAGTGGAGCTCACGCCCGAGCTGCTCCGGGCCATCCGGCGACGGCGGGAGCAGGCCCGGCGCAGGCGGGGCCTCCGCCGCTCGCCGCCCGCGGCGGGCCTGCTCCGCTGCTTTTCCGGGCCAGTGGGAGCCCTGGCGAGCAGGCTGCGGACAGCGTGCCAGGAGGATCCGGGGGTCTCCCAGCAATTCCATTTCCTTGCTGCGCCTGTTGTCTTGCACAGTGCAGGCCCATCCCAATTCTTGTGCGCCATGCCGCATAGGCTGACGATGAGCCTCTTTCGCTGCCCCCCCGCTCCCCTCACAAGACTGGGCGTTGTCTGCCAAGGCGGTCGGCGACGTCCTCCCCTGACAACGTGTTTCCCACCCCTGGGTCGAGATGGAGAGATAGAGATGCAGATGAGGATGATGACGAGGAGCAGGCGGACGATCGCACGCTACCAAGGGGGAGAGGAGCGAGAGAGAAAGAGAGAGAGAGAGAGAGAGAGAAACACAAACAAACGTGAAGAAAGAGAGAGAGAGGAGAGAGAGAGAGAGAGAGAGAGAGAGAGAGAGAGAGGAGAGAGAGAGACCCCGACGAGTCGGGAACTCCCCAGGGGCGCCCATCCGAAAAAAAGGCCTCTGCCACCCCGCGTGGGCCTGACGCGCCCAAAACCGGAGGCCAGCGAGCCAGACCGCCGACGCGTCGTGCTTTTTTTTGTTTCCCCTTCCGGAGCGTGGGCCCCCCCCCCGAAGGGGTCTGGACCTTTTCCGGAGGACCGGTTTTGCATCCGAATTCGTTCTTTCGGGGGTTGCTAGAGGTGCCCCCTGGCCCAGCTTTTCGCTCCATTTTGGAGACCCTGGGGTCCTCTGGGCCTCGTGCGGGGTGCTCTGGAGGTCGTGGGGGGCTCCTTGGGAATCCTGGGGGAGCCTTGGGCCGGGGGCAGTTCTAGCGACGCCCGATGTTTTGCGGGTCCAGGGGTCAGGTGAAGAAGACGGCCAAACACCGCCTGTCGTGACTCTTGTTCACGACGAGGGGGTGAGGGAGGAGGAGGAGGAGGAGGAGGAGGAGGAGGAGGAGGAGGAGGAGGAGGAGGAGGAGGAGGAGGAGGAGGAGGAGGAGGAGAAGGAGAACCTTTTCTTTGGGGAGGCGGAGGAGGACCTTTTGTCTGCGGAGGAGGACCCTTGCCTGCGGAGAGGAGGACCTCCCTCCGGGGACGAGGAGGGAGGGCGGAGGAGGACTCTTACCTGCGGTGCTCTTCGGGCGAAGCTCGGGACTCCGACGCCCGTGCGGGAGGATCCGGGCACAGCGGGGCGCAGCTGCTGCAGAGCACGGCAGGTTCGCGCGGCGTCGGCGCGCGCAAGGGTCTTCGACACCGCGTCGATGGCTCAGCCGCGCCCCTTCGAGGTTGAATTCCGTCGCGTCCTGCCGCGTTACCGTGCCCCTCGGTGCCTCCGCGTCTTCTAGCATGCGGGGTTAGGAGGAGGAGGAGGAGGAGGAGGAGGAGGAGGAGGAGGAGGAGGAGGAGGAGGAGGAGGAGGAGGAGGAGGAGGAGGAGGAGGAGGAGGGGGGGGGGGAGGGGGAGGAGGAGGAGAGGAGGAGGAGGAGGAGGAGGAGGGGAGGAGAGAGGAGGAGGAGGAGGAGGGAGGAGGGGAGGAGGAGGAGGAGGAGGAGGAGGAGGAGGAGGAGGAGGAGGAGGAGGAGGAAGGGGACGAGGAGGCGGAGGAGGAGAAGGAGGAGGAGGAGGAGGAGGAGGAGGAAGAGGAGGACAAGCGTAAGCCCAAAAAGTCATCAACGATGTTGGGGAACACCCTCCCTCTAAGCTCCCTCTTCATCGGCTCCTGCAACGGTTCATCTCCGCTGAGGGAACTGCCTCGTCGGAAGACAACCGCATGCATATTCTGCCAACGCCACGGATCAACCTCACTGTTGCGTCTTGACGAACCGGAGTCTTGCCAGAACATCATTCCTGGGACTTCAACACCGCGAATCAAAATCACTGTTGATCCCGCCGGATCCTGAATCATTTCACAACAATTTTTCTGGTAAATTGATCATGGGATACCGTGAACTCCTTGTACTATTTAGAAAACGAATGTGCGCGGCGCGAAGGCGAGATCCACATATTGAAAAGGAACGGCCCTCAAGCCGTGAAGCTCTTGCAAATTTGCGAAAACGACTGTGTGCGGCGCTAAGGCGAGAACCACATGTTTCACCCCCCCTCAATCCGTCAAGCTCTTGCAAATCGTTGGAAACCAATGCGCGGCGCTAAGGCGAGAACCACATTTTGAAAACCACCCGCCTTCAGTCCGTGAAACTTTTGCGAGTGTTGACAGCGAATGTGCGCGGCGCTAAGGCAAGAACCACATTTTGAATTCAGACCGCCAGTCCGTGAAACTCTTGCAATGGTTGATCACGAATGTGCGCGGCGCTAAGGCGAGAGTCACATTTTGAAAACCACCCGCATTCAATCCGTGAAGCTCTTTTAAAACGAAGGTGTGCGGCGCTAAGGCGAGAGCCAGAAAACCACCCACCCTCCATCTGTGAAGCTGTTGCCAACTTTTGAGCTTCAGGGTCATTAGATGTCATTAGTGGTGAGGAAGTCCCAGGCGAAGCGCCTCGGGGTGCGACAGGGAGAAATTAATTATAAGGACCAGGAATGGAGATGGAGGAGGAGGAGGAGGAGGAGGAGGAGGAGGAGGAGGAGGAGGAGGAGGACACGACGCGAGGCTGTCCTGAGAGAAGGGCCACTTGAGACAATGGCGGCACTCCCGCCCAGTCCAGGTCCGCTTCAGCATCGGTCCCTGCACCGCTCCTGCTGCTGCTAACGGTTGACGACGGTGACCCTGCAACCGCCTGTCCTGCCGAGCACCCCTCGTCTGAACACAGAGGGGGTCGGGGGCTCCTTAGCCCGCTGCCGGGGCCGTGGCGACGACAGGGCCCCCATGAGGCCCAACAGGGGCGCGCCATGGCGGGTCGTCGTTGCCGCGGCAACCTTGGCACTGCTGGGGAGCAGGATCACGACATGAGCCGAAACTTCCTGAGCTCCGCGCGGGTTTCTGGATCGGCGCCGGACTCGCTCCCCTGGCGCGGAGCGCGCCGAGGGCGGCGCCCGAGGCGCCAGGGGGTCCTGGCGCCGTTCCGAGAGATCTCCGGACGCCCGAAATGGGTACGGAAACAATGGGCACAGTGCCCGATAGCAAGTGTTGCCCCGAGCCAAGAGCGGCCGCTGTTTGGCAGGCGGCCTTCTGCCTCAAGTGGGCACGGATCCGCGGCGACGCCGACGGCGAATCCGGTTCAAAATCAGCACGAACCGCTGTCGCTCTTTGTGCCTGTTCTTTCCGTGCCCATGTCGGTCGTCCCGACGGTCTTCTTCGAGTCAGGCCGCCGGCGCCCGAGGCCTGGAGCCCATCTATCTTCCCGCGGGCAACATGGCTGGCCAGGCCGGTCCCGTGAGGGCCCCGGGGCCCGAGGCAGGGCAGCCGCGCCCGCTGCGGAGGAGCTGCGGCGCCAGGACGCCAGGCTTGGCACTGCTCATCGGGGGCCTGGAAGCGGGGACCAGCACCAACCTGTCACAGGGGGATGCCTCCACCGGTGGAGGGCGATCCTACAGCCAGGCCGCTGAAAGAAGGAACGCTTATATCAAGGAGCGAAGCCCCTTCTTGGCCCTGTAAGCGCCTTCGCGCCCGAGGGGGGCAAGAGGAACAGCACTGGAGGAACCTAAGGAACATCGAGCCCCTTGCGAACCCAAACGGTTCCGTGTTCCAGCGTCTTGACTGCAGATCTCTCGGTGCTGGTGGTGATCCTTCGGCCGCCCAGGAAGCCCGAACGGTGCCACCGTCGCCGAGATCGGCATCTCGTCCTCCCTCGGTGGAGGCACACCGCCGAGATCCGTGCCGGTGTCCACCTCTGATGATGATGATGATGAGGAGGAGGAGGAGGAGGAGGAGGAGGAGGAGGAGGAGGAGGAGGGGGAGGGGGAGGAGGAGGGGAGGGGGAGGAGGGAGGAGGAGGAGGGAGGAGAGGAGGAGGAGGAGGAGGAGGAGGAGGAGGAGGAGGAGGAGGAGGAGGAGGAGGAGGAGGAGGAGGAGGAGGGCCCCCCCCCGCCGCTCCTCGGCCCTCCACTCGGGGAGCGCCCGCCCGAGGTGGGCGCCGAGGCTCCTCCGGGCGGCCGCCACGTCGTGCACGCGGGCCGCGACCTCGGCGGGCCCGGGCCCGCGGGCGTGCTTCGGCGGCGCGCCCATGGGGGGCAGCGAGAGGGGGGCGGGCCTCCTCCTCAGCCCCCCCCCCCCCACCCTCTTGGACGCCCGAAAAATGCGGTACGGAAAGAATGGGCACAATGCCCAACAACAAATGTTGTCCCAAACCAGCAGCGGCCGCTGTTAGGCAGGCGGCCTTCTGTCTCGAATGGACACAGGCCGCGGCGGCGTGGACAGCAGTTCCTGTTCAAAATGAACAGGAACTGCTGTTGGGCATTGTACCCATTCTTTCAATACCCATTTCGGGCGTCCAGACCCTCGGGTCATGCATAAGTCCTGGCGGAGAGTGCCTCGCGGTTTTCGGCCTCCCGGGGCCCTCGCCGGGGCCTTGGGGCCCGTTCAAAAAAACAATGCAGGAGGATACAACGGTCCCGGGGAAATGGGTCCAGACCGTGCAGGGTCGGCGTTGTAATAGAGAGAAAACACATGACGTCGGGGGTCTGGGTCAGAAGGCGGCGATGCTTCTCAGAAGCCCTCGGATTTTCTGAGAGGCCGTCTCTGTCTTTGGAGAAAGCTCAGAACACTTCTCAGAAGGCCCGAGGTCCTCCGAGCCTCCTGAGAAGGCCCGCCCCCTCTGCATTCCCCCCCTGGGCTCGACGTTCAAATGCAATCATCGCGCTGCCATGTGGAACGCTGGAAGAGGAGCCACGGGGCTTTTCTGGCCACGGCTGACGGGGGCGGAGGGATGCACGAGGCCCCTGGGCGCACTTCCTCTGCCCTCGAACTCGTAGGGGCCCTCGGGAACCCTGCAGTCGGGGCTGACCGGAGAGGACACGCGAGAGGACGCAAGACCCTTCGGAGGGCCACCTTACCACAGGGATGTCAAAAGCATGGGCCGCGAAACACGGGGCAGCAAAGGATCCCTTGATTTGGCAGGGCCGACCTACTAATCAGTGCGTGGAAACATGAAGTAGGAGGGCGGATGAAGTAGATTGGGCTCGGGCCCGCCCAACGAGTAATGCGCAAGCAGTAGGCACATATCGCTTCTTGAAGTGGGAAGGCGCTTGAAAGAGATTGGGGCCTGGATACCCAAACACACCTGCTGACAGCGGCAGGCGTGCACCCCACAGGATGGCCCCCACGACGCCCAGCATGCCCCAAGGATGCCCTCGAGAAGCCCTCGGGGGGGCTCCAAAGAGAGCGCCCGG